CCCCCCCCCTTACTTTGCATTTTATAATCTCTTTTTTCGTGGGTCAATGTAAATTTTTTATGATCTTTCTTACAAAAATATATATATATATATAATTTTTTTTTCAGGATAGCAGAACGTTGATGCTTCCTTGGTTAATATCTGTTTTTTCAGCAACACTTCTTGATGTTTTGGGAGCATTGTATCTAATAATAGACTCAGTAGGTAGCATTATCCTTTTTCAATTTTTAAATCTAAATATTAATAAAGCAGATAGCAGAAAAAAACATCTCGTTCTACTGTAATTGAAGTGCTTAGTAGCGAAGCATGTTAAGAAAAATCTTAATGGAAGAACATGTTCAAAAAGTTAGGAATTTGTCTTAAAAAAAATTGCTGTTTCTGGGTGTTAGGAAGAATTTTATCGAAGAACATGTTCAGTGAACCTAAAACTGGTTTTATTATATTGAACTTAACACGCTCTTCTCTTCTAATATTATTTCATAACGAGCTGTAATTTTAAAAATATTAAAGTGCATGAAATATTTTTATTTTTAAAATATGATAAACTTTTTTTCCAGAAATATCATGAATACCTGATTACTTTGTTCATCTTTGATATCATTATTCTTGGGTTAAATGTAAGTTCTTTTAACTTCATTTCTAAATTTAATTTTTTGTATAATCTTTTCATGATGAAAATATATGAATAGTAAATAATTTATGTTTAGCCAGTATTTCCTCACATGCGGGTCACTAATTAAGATTTAAGCTTCTAGCAAAACAAAACACGATTCCTCATACTTATCAATGAAATTTATAGTTTTTACAGGTTTGAGGGACCAATAATAAATTACAAACGAATAATAAGGTTTTTGATCTCCCTATGCCAAAAAAATGTTGCAATAAATTTGTAGTTTTTAACAAATAGTTCGGTAATTATGCAATAACTGCACAAAATTTTATAAAAAAACAAATTTTTTTTGTCTTACAATTTCTTTGCAATGATTCTAAAAAAATCATTTAAATAAGAAAAATTTTTTGGAGCAATTTAAAATTAATAAAAAATTTTTTTCTTAAAAAACTTGAAAAAAACTTGTTGAAAATTGTGCAATATATAAGTAATTAAAGTAATCATTTTTTGCTTCGCATGTGCACGAAAAAGTGAAAATTTTTGTTCATAATTTTGCAGTAAATCGTATTTGCCAACAATTGAAAAAAGTCCGATTTGAATATCTCGAAATTTTAAAAAGTTTCGAGCAATTTTCGAAGTAGTTTTTGTACTTTTTAAAAAGAAATTCAAATTGTTATGGTGTTTTCTATAAATATTAATTTGTATCATAAAACAAAACGAAATAACGGATGATAATACCTTAGAATAGCCGTTAATACACCGAAATATGATTGTATAAGGAAAGAAAATAAAACACAAAACGAAATATATAATGCGATCAACGAAATCAAATGAAATTTCACGTACCGAAATAGTTTTGTGTTTTGTTCTGTATTTTCTGTTATTTGCTTGATATGTTTTATTTCTCATATATATTTTACTTAATGTGTTCTATTTTTTTTAGTATTCCTCACACGATTGTATAGATATAGTTCGCTTCGGCTATATTGAAAAAATATTAGAGAGCATACTTTTTTGCGAATATAATCTTGTGAGGAAATTATATCTTTTCATTATTTTGCTTTCCACCTTTCTTATATTTATTTTAAATAATTTTTTTAAAATTATTTTTAAAAAATATCTTATTTTTCTTCTCTTTTCATTGATTTTTATTATTTTCCGCGTTTTCTCTATATTTTTGACTTATTTTATGAGTTCTATATACTTGTAACTTATGCGCAGTTGATTTTCTCAATTTTCTTCGTTCTTCTTTTTTTTCTTTTATCCTTTTTGTCTTTATTGTGCTATATTTTGTATATATATATATATAGTGGTTGATTTTTTGTAAAAAATAAAATAATGCAGTCAGTAAACGATGTACTTAATTTGCTAATTTACTAAATTTTATTTATTTTTTAAAAGATGTAATTTAATGAAAGTTCTAGTGTTAATGAGGAATTTATTTACAATATTTACATCAGATGTATAGAAAGTCTTTAAAAAATATTCAACTTTCACAATATGGAGTTGGGAAAATTTAAATTTATTCAGTAAATCAGTTAATAAATAAAATTGTTATCATACCTTTACTTTTCGTAAACTAAATCACCTTTTGACATCTATGTGAATGGCGAATCTATTTGATAAAATTGGTAGGTCCCTTGCAATTAAAGTAAATAGATTATTAAATAACAATAAAGGACAAATATGTAATAGTAAAGAGAAATAGTTTTAGCTACCATAATAGTTTAATAAAAAATGCATTAACGGGATTACGGAAGAAAAATGTTATTATTATCAATATAGTTTAAAAATGGAACTTTCTGTTCCCCTAATAAATATCCTAAGAACTAAGTAATCAAGATACCAGTCTGTAGTTTATTGAAAGAAAAAAATAGATATGTTTTCAGCGTAAGAGTTTCGGGTTTATTAATTTATTTAATTAAAAATAATTATTTTTAATATCATATATTACGTAGTGAAATTCTTTATTACTGAAAAAAAAATCTAATTTGTGCTAAGTGTTAAAGATGAGCGGTTTTTTTAATAAGTGAATTTTAACCGACATGGTTGGTATTACTTAGATTTAAAGAATTGCAAATGAATTTTTTCACTTTTAAATGAAATATTTAAGAAACTAATGCATTTTGTTTGCAATAATTTTTCTGTTGATATGGCATATGTTGATAGGACATCCTATGTTGATATGACACTTCATAGTTGCGATCCCCAGGCCACGGACAGTCTTTAAAAAAACTATTCTACTCGTATAATTTTTCATTTTATTTCTATTATCATTCCAACAAAAGCAAACAATAGGCACATTAATTACCCTGCATTTAGATTTTTACACCGTAATGCGGTTTCCATCGTTTGCGTTCGGCAACAGCAGAAAATCATTATTTTTAGATATGGTTTTTAGTATAAATCTTGAATTATTTTGTTAATTATTTCATTAAATATTTAATAATAAACTGTCAAAAGAATTAAATATTTGTTTCATGAAACATTAAGTTAAAACTCTTTCAAATATGTTAACTGAAATAATTTAGTAAACATGCCAAGTGAAATTATCTGTGATCATGTTAGGCATATTGTAGTAAACATATTGCATGAAATTAATAATGAACATGTTAATTAAATTATTTTTATTAAGCGAATAAGTTTAGGAAACGGTTTTAAGACTCTTTTTTGTTAAGACAATTTTGTAAATTTAATCTATATTATATGTAGTACAGAGATATCTTAATGCTATTTATAGTAAGTAATAGATTTGCCATTTTTTCATTCATTTGTAACATTATAATTAGAATTACTGAGTTTATAAGTGAAACCTTTTAAGTAAATCTTTTTAGTAAATATCAGCGAACACGTTTACAACTGTTAGTGAACAAGTTAAGTGAAAAAATTTAGTCAACATAATTAAGTGAAAGGTTTCACAACCTATAAAAGAAAAAAAGTTTCTGGAACATATTTGTGAGTGGCATATTAGGAACATTAGAATAACATTTACAAATTATAAAATAAAATGCAGTTTTCATTGAAAAATTGTTAAAAACGGTTAATAGCCATTCAGCATGCTCTTTTTCCAATCTTTTGAATTTCAAGGAATATTTTACTTTATTTCAATCACTCTCACTTATTAACGCAAAAGATATATATATATATATNTACTAAACATTTTTAATTGATCTTACTAAACTTTTTTATCACATGAAACGCTCTTTAATCTTAAGAGAATATATTTATTAAAAAATTTGGTTCAAAAACTTCGAAAACAGGTTTAATGTTATTACTTGTGCTAGTTATATGTTTGTGTGTGTTTTACATTTAAGTATTGTTTAAACTTCAAAGAGATACGTTAAGAATTTTTACAACGAGAAGGAAAGGATATTTAATTGGTTCTTTTAAATAGAAGCAGACATTATTTCTATTTTTTTTCCAAATACAAATCAAACAGGCAATTTCAAAAGTTTACTTTCACTGCCCTTATTCTAATTAGAATGTTCATATTATTGGTTTTCTGATGAAACAACATTCGAAAAATGATGATTGGGCACTAGAGATCAAACGAAATTTAATTTGTTTGAAGTTTGTGAGATCGAAATAAAAGTTTACATTAGATTCTCTTACAATTACTATTTATAATGCATTCAGTTGTCCCGTATTGTTTTAGATTAAATATTTCTAAGTTGAAATAACATTTAGAAAAGGGAAGTAAAATTCTTACAACGAATAATTTACTAACTCTTGGAAAAAAGAAATCCTATAATCTCAGAAAATTAAAATATTATATTTTTTTCCTAAGGAACTCGGTGAATAAAATTGTTTAAATTTCAATTTGAATAATTAGCTTTAAAAATTATTATGATTTAATCTAATAAAACTATATTTTGGCTGATAAATTAATTATGTTTTGGGAGATGTGCTAAAATCCGAATTTTATCCGATCCGCTTGAATATAATGGGGTTTATATAGAAAGAATGAAAAAAAAAAAAACGGAAATGAAATTTTTTCTCACGAAAAATATTTGTTTACATCAACAAATTAAGATGGTGTTCCTCTTACTCTTAGTAACATACAAGTATTTAAAAATCAAGAAACAAAGGGACTACGTTTGGAATTTCTACAGCCTTTATGCACTCATCGTTCAAAACTTTGAAATTATTTTCTAACCAACATTGATTCTAGACAATTACAGGAATAATTATAACATTTAGCTACCTAAATTGATCCTTAAAATTTGTAACTTTGCACGTGTTAATGCAATTATTACTTCTAAACATTCAATGATTCGCATAAATATTTAAAGACGTTACAAACTTGTATTATTATTTGCGAAAATAGATGAATAAATGTCATTTACCTAGTGAATTTAGGAATACGTCTCACTGCAACAATTACGGTTCAAATTACAGTGAAAAGTACCGGCACTTAGAGTGCCAACTTTTTTTACTACAAAAGCCACTTTTACCGTAATATTCTGTGGGACAAAAAAAAATCGGTTTAACTTTAATTTTTACAGTAATATTTACTGTAAAATTACTGATTCACAGTGAAAAAATATTATTGCAAAAATCACGGTTTAAAGTTTTACGGTAAAAATGGATTTGACGGTAAAATTTTATGAATGCTACACTCAGTGTATCAGTAGTTCTTACCCGATTTTTTTACAGTGCTGTAGCTATCTTATTTTTCAATACAATATTCCCTCAGAAAAATGTTTAGATCTTTTCTTCGTATTATTTAATTCAGAATTCGTAAGAATAATATTCTGATTGAAAACCAACATAGACCACAAAAGATCTTATTAGAGCACTTTACAATGTTTTGCGCCCAACTAGAAGCAATAAATTTTATCGTTGACTATTTATATATTAATTACACTTGATATGTATAATAATTTTCGATAAATGACTCGATAAAATTTCTTCGATTCGATAAAATTCGATTCGTAAGACTCGTTGAAATTTCTATGGTAGGCCCATAAGCCCATTGATAGCGAATCAACCTGATCCATTTAATGCATTAGGTATTAGTGAATTCAATTATAACAAAGTAAACACCATTTGTTAATAATGCTAAATAAAATTCATTTCATGAAATTTAAGAAGTTAAATATGTTGTCAGTAACAACAAAAACACTATTTAAGTTTCACTACTATTATACAATTACGCTAAAAATAAACAAAAGTACAAAATTAGTACTTTTTTGTAGTACAGGAACTTTGTTTAAACGTAAATTAATTCCATAGTCAACAAGGCTGCTTTAAAAATTCATAAATAGTACGAAATAATTGAAGTGGCCTACGCTGCCAAAATAGCCGGATCAAATTGCGTTTAAGTTTTACGGAACAAAAAATCGGATGAATCGTAATTTTTATTTAAAGTAATACTTACTGTAAAATCAATACAATTAAATAATTATTACTGTAAAAATACTGATTTTAAATTTTACGGTTCAAATCGGTTTTACGGTAAGATAGAATTTATTAATGCTGCACTCAAAGTATTTTTTACTCTAATTTATATCCGGAATGTTTTATCAGTGTAATGAATGAGGTAGTTCAAAAATAGTAACTTTTCTCTAAAATATTTTTATGTGAAAATCATAATGTAAATTTTATTAATTTTAATTTAATTGTTAATTGTTCCACTTCGAGAAGAAGTATAGGAGTCTTACATCAGACATACCCACACACGTGATCTATGACGCTAGCGCCAGGTGATCGTCAATAAACAAAATGGTGTGTCAAAGTTGAGCTTTTTTTCTCACAAAGGTTGGAATCTTAATTAGCTTTAATTAGCGTATCGCACATTGAATTTGTTGAAAAATAATTATTTCTTAGATTTATTATTTGATTAAGTATTCTATTGTAACACGTGATATATATTTTAGTTTTGTATACCTGGCAACTTCGATACATAATTAGTTTGTTTATGTTCTACATGGCTTCATGCGTTTCTTTGTGTAAGAAATATATAGTGAAAGAATTGAAATTTTTGTAAAAGGATCTTTGCATAGGAATATAGAATGTATCATTTAAGAGAATTGATCTTTGACGTGCCAGCCTTACTCGAAATGTAATGGAAAAAACAGTTGCGATCGTAAACAAATGCCAAGTTTCAACAACCAATCAGGATTGAGATACCCACACTACGTCACTTGCAGGTATCCAAGTGTAAAATTTCTTTTAATTTTTTTTTTTTAGGTTTACAGTTTGTTATGTGTTTTTACCCATTATAAGGAACTTTGTGCTGGAAGAGGCCATCCTCAAGTTCAAATAAACAGATCGGTAAATATTATACATGTTTCTCGATAAAAACCCTGTTTCTTCTCTTGACTTATAAATATTTATCTATAATCATAAAATCTTTATCTATAATTATGGAATCTTTATCTATAATTATAAAATCTTTATCTATACTTATAAAATCTTTATCTAATATTATAAAATCTTTATTTACGCTTATAAAATCTTTATCTATAATTATAAAATATTTATCTATAATTATAAAAGTTATTGTTTGGTACAGTTAAGTAATTGCAGTGCTGCACGATGAGGTCGCTTACATCTAGTGGAATTTTAAGAACCATATGCAACTGTTTCTGGTACCGTTTCCATGTGAAAACGGTACCAGATATAGACAAAAATAATTGCAAGGTACGAGAGCGTCAGCAATTTAGGACAAAGAGGCCTTTTTTGAAAATTTTAATTGTTCGAAAAGGGCGGTTTTGTTTTCCCCCTATTTACAACGATGACGATCTAAAAAAAATGCTTATCACGAAATATTTTAACTTTCGACGAAAAAAAAAGGGAATAACGGATTTTTGTAAACTTTTAAGATATGAAATTAAATAAAAATTATCCCACAAAAACATAAGCGGTAATATATTACCCGAATCATCATTTTTGTTTCTTTGCACTCACTTCTGGCAAGTCTTGAAAATGGATACTTGGGAGCTTGTCCACTGTTTTTTCATATTTGTATATTTTTTGAAGCGAATGCAGTTTTCAATTACGTAATATGGGTTTTCTGTGGTAAGTTTTTTCTCCAGTTACTCTGTGAATTCACAAATGAAAAATAAAATATTTGTGGTTCTTCTAAAGAACGCATTTGTAGGATTTTCGAAAATATTTTAATTCAAGTATATTATTTCTTCCCTTCTTCCTATGATAAATAAAATATTTGTGGTTCCTCTAAAGAACGCATTTGTAGGATTTTCGAAAATATTTTAATTCAAGTATATTATAATTTCTTCCCTTCTTCCTATGATAAATAAAATATTTGTGGCTCCTCTAAATCGCGTTTATTGTGTGGTACAATCGAAGCGGTTGGGGATTCGTAAAAAAGAGATCATAACAAACGTTTAATTATAACAAATAAAGATAATCTAAAGAATAGAATGTACTTAATGATTGCTCATTCTAATCGAAATATATTCATATCACGAATAAAAAGTTATCTGTCAGATTTAAAAAACTAAGAACTTGTGGGGAGTCAACTTACTTTTAAAATAACCATCACCATGTATAGTAAGGACAGTCATCACGAAGCACCGTATTTAGTAGTGTAGTAATTAAGAAATACCCTGTTTAGTATAGACAATCATCACTGAACACCATGTATAGTAAGGACAGCCATGACGAAATACTATGCATAGTAAGGATAGTGATTACAAAACACATTCTTAAGTAAGGATAGTTGTTACAGAACATCGTGTAAGTAAGACCAGTTACTACGAAACACTATGCATAGCAAGAACTGTTACTTCGAACTTCCATGTATAATAAAGACAGCCAGTACAAAACACTCTGTCTAGTAAGGACAGCCATTGAAAAATTCCCCGTTAAATAAGGATAGTCGCTGCAAAAATATAAAGTGAGGGCAGTCAATACGAGACACCCTGTACCAGTTACTGTGTGTGTAGTAAAGATAGGTACCGCGTATATTAATGTAAATTCAACGAAGTTTATTGGTCAATGTTTTCTCATAGATATCATTAGTGGAGTATCCTATTGAGAATCGTACACCATCCAAGAAAACGCCACTAGTTAATGATTCCGGAATGACCAACAGCAGCACCGTTTCTGCGGCGAACTCATCAGCTTTTGTAATTCAAAGTGATGCAATATCAGTAAGTGTAGTTTAATCAATCACTTTTAACAGTATTATAGCGGAATAATTACGCAGTTTATTTGACAGCTGTTGAAATATTGAAAGAGTTAATCTATTAAATATTAAATAAATTGAACAATCATAAACTTAAAATAGATTTAAAACATTCCTACGTATGCAATCGGATCCCCTTAACTTATCTGAAACACGAAAGACGTTAGAGTTACGGATGCAGAGTTTAGAATCGGTAGTAAAATAAATACTAATATTGTTTTTGTTTAAATCAAATGGTTTCTAAGGTCAACAGCAATAACTCCTTCATTATGTTTTTAGGGCAAAGTTAGTCCCAAGGGACATAATTAAAGAGGTCCTTTCTTCAACATCTTCAGAAATTAAAACATTCATTTTGGAACTATGCCAGAGTCGTGAAAACTCGCCAAATTATCATTGATACCAGTGAAGCTTAGTTAATTGTGGTAATAGGCAACATAAAGAGAAACCCTTCGCGCGGGTTACCATAAACGAGATATCCGATCCTTGAGTAGAACGAATGTTGTGACATCTTTCTTATTTTCCCCCAATCGCTTTGTTGAGTAATAAGACAGTTGTGACATTAAACATTTTTCTCATTTTTCGCCTATTGAGTAGTTCATGTTCTCTACGTCGGACTATTAAATTGATTCATGTAGGGTCCCTCTCTTTTGTATGAGGTGGCGTAATAGGTACCAAATATTTTAATATAAGAACAAAATAGATTTTTTGGAATCCCTGAAACAGAGTATTACCTTCGGTTTTAACTATTTGAGGGGGGGCACGGGATAGCCTGGTTGGTCGAAAGTGAGTTCAAATCCTGCCGGCAGAAGGATCTCTGTGTATTAAATGATGGCTAATCAAGTTAAATCTGTCGAGGTCAAAAAGTCCTCCAAGTTACCATAACAAATCAATATCTCAGGGAGTACTGAATTGAAGATTGATTGTTCTCTGGTTCAGGTCAAAATTACAACCTGTGAATGAATGAATGGAGGGTGATTGGGTCCTCCTTGTAAAAAGGGGTGGGGCGTGTGCTTGGTTGAGATCGTAATCGTGACCATAGCTGGCGCCACTGAAAGGCAAAAAATGCATCTTTTGCCTTAAAATTCGCTTTATTTCCCAAGCAGGCTAGCTGATATTGGCAAATGGCATAAGTAGAGCCCTGATGGCTCAGGGGATAGAGCGTTTGGCTTCCAGTGAGTTGAACCGGGTTCGAATCCTACCAATGACTGGTCGATACGAATCCGCATCCGGCTGGCACCGACCACAGTGCTGACGTGAAATATCCTCAGTGGTAGACGGATCACGGGTTAGAGTCTCTTTGACGTCAGGCTAACCTTGGGAGGTTCTCGTGGTCTTCCTCTCCATATAACGCCAATGCGGGTTAGTTCCATCAAAGAGTCCTCCACGAAGGCAAAATTTCTCCCAATACTTGATCCAGAAGTTCTCTTGTCTTCTGGATTGGGTTCAAAATTACAACGCTGCAGAGTTGAACATTAGAAGTCATAAACCCAAAAATTTCGTCGTCTGTTCAACGACGGTTATAAAATAAAAAAATAAAATGGCATAAATAACAACAATTATTCGAGGACTAATTTAATCACTTTTCAAGGCAGTTTGTTGCTCTTACCTCCCTTTGTATAACCTTTTTTGCTGTCTGAACTGATCGAAATTTTGGTAAAAAGTCTGAAACGTTAGTCAAAATACCAAACCAGCATGCGGTAGATTAGTACACATTTTCCTCACAGATCAAGGCAGAGATGTACGGTGCTAGTATACGCTACTTATAGTAAGTTACGGCAAAATGAAGAAAAAAATTCAACAAATCATTTCTCTTTGAGGAATATAAATGAGCTTCACTAAAACGAATGATGGTGTAAACTAGCGTTGATTTTTCGGAGAGTGTTGGTACTTTAAATTTGATAAAAATACATATGGATTTTAGTATATATCTCTTTCACCAATCTCCTTATTTCTGCAACATACTAAAAATTTATCTGCCTAGACATATTGCTTTAACGCATAAACACGAAATATTTTTCAGGATACATCAATCCAATTTAAAAACATTGAGGACATAGATTTTACTGAAGAAGTGTCATCTAGTGGTTGCCATAGAAACAGTCAGACAAAATAGCATTTCTAAGGAGCGAAGTGACATATGGGAAACAAAGAGGAGCTTATGTAAGTTTGCAAGTTCAAATTTTTAACCGACAAATTTAGCTATAAATTCTTGAACTTAAACTAGAATTAATTAATTTAATTTAGGAATCGAAATAAAAATACACGATACATAGTCACGTGATTTAGAATATAGCCCTGGGCAATCCTTTAAATTTTATTTTAAATTGTAAGTTTAAAATCCATTTGGCCCTTTGGCGATTCCTGTTGGCGGAACAAATCACGATACGGAAATATCTTCACTCTCTCTCTCTTTCTCAAATGAGAATAGGGTATTGATTCGTTAAATATTAAAATTTATCAGAGGATAGAGCACCCGCCTCCCAAGGAGGTCACTCGGGTTCGAATCCCAGCTTTAGTTGGTCAATACGAATTCTGAAACAGGATCGCACCGACCACAGTGCTGACGCAAAATAACCTTAGTGGTAAATGGATCATGGGTTAGAGTCCCCTTACTGTTATCTTAACCGAAAGAAGTTTTCGTAGTTTTCCTTACCCTGTAACGCAAAATCTTGTCAGTGCCATCAAAAAATTCCTCAACGAAGGCAAATTTCTACCAATACTTGATCAAGGATTTTCCTTGTCTTCTGGATCTGTTTTCGGATACGGAGTTGAACTGCTTATTAGGACTAAATCTCTACAACTTTCTAATTTTCTTTTCCACCTGGTTAACGTTGTTTTCAAGAAAAGAACTCTAATTTTTTATCCTGTAGACATTTTACTATACCTAAATACTACTTTATAATTTTATCTTGAAGCCTTCAAAATTTTAGAAGGATACGATTTTTTTTGCATCCTGTCTATAGTTCGATTGTATATTATTTAACGTTATTATTCGACATTATGAAAATGAATCCCAAATAATTGATAAAAGTTCGAGATCAATAATATATGCCTTTATTCAAATCTGATACTTTATAGGTGTAAGAGTATGGTCATATTGGAAATCTCAATTTTGTTTCACCTTCGGAAATAGTTTTCCTCGAATATTTATTGATTTATTTGTAATTTTTTTAAAGGAATCAGAATTTTAACGGGACATTTTTCTGCTCCTACTAAGATGATTTAAAAATTGAAAAATAGATTTCTTCCTTCGAAACCAATTTCGAACGAAAATTTCAGAACTTTTCTGCGCTCTACTTTTCTATAACCAGAACAAAAATATTCTTCCTATCTAAATGGATCGTTATGATTCGATTATTTATTTTCTAAGAAAATGTTAGTGGAAAATATTCTTTTTATAGAGTATAACAAGTTTTTTTTTCTGTTATTTTTATTTTTTTATTATGAATGAAAGCTTTTATATTTGCAAAGTAAAATCTAGGACAATAATAGATACGACTATGGAATGTTGGGATTTATAAAACAAGGGTCGAGACCAGAGCGTGCAATTTATGCCATCGTAAAGATTTTTCTGTATTGTATTTAATAAAAAGTCGGAATTTTAAACATTGTCAAATATCTTTGATATTTTTAAACTTTCATTTTTTTCAAACTATGCGATGCATAAGACGATTGCAAACTGTTTTCAAAAATTCATATCAGGAAAATGATTAACGTAAAAATAGAACAACTCTAGTAGGTAATTCATGTAACAGAACATAATTTTCCCTTCCCACAATTCTTGTGTTTATTTCAAACGGTTTTCAACAGATGACTCTGTGAGTAGTGATCCTTTATTTTTCGGAAAAAGAGTGAAAAAACATCCGAAAGTTTTCAAATTCTTTAAATAAATGCAGTTTGCGTTAAAATATTCTCGAAAATTTGCAGTCACAATCACATGTCATAATTGGAAGAAGAAACTTGAATACATCAAAACACAATGGAAAAATAAATGCAGCGATACCTAGCGAAAAACTTTGGTGTTAGAATCAAGTACATTTATCGTCTGTCACGTGAATTAATTTTAAAAGAAATCGTTTTGTTTCCCCATTTATAGTTTTCCTGTTACATGTTTTTGTTAACCTTCAGTCTCGATGCATAACTGGATACCTTTTTTATGTGCATGTTGTCTGATAATTACAAAATCATTGTTGCTGTAACCGAAGTACTTAAAAGTTTCTACTAGAAAAGTTTTCATATAATTGATAAGACAACTGTAATTCGAAGATATTTTTATCTAGATGGCGCAACAAGTGATTTTCAAAATAGCAAGCGATGTTTAAATGATTCCGAAATTAAAAATGAACTTAATGACTAAATGTTTAAATGAGTACGTTAAATGACAACGAAAAACTAAAATTCAGGTGATCAATTTTCCGAATTATGCTAATTAAAGTTAAATAAACTTTTAAATTAAGTCAAAATTTGATAAAAAAAACTGCAATAATCTAAAAAGTACGTTATAAAGTACGCAGAAGCCACAAAAAACTCTTTCTTTCCAATAAGGCTGAAAGCATTTTACATAATGTCGATGGCGTAAAATAGAACAGAGCTTCCCCACTACTATGCATTTAAGTATAGTTTGTCTGCGGTAAAAACTCCCCCGGTCACAATGTCTGAGACCGTCTGCTGCTATCAAAACGAGAATAGCGCATTTTAGGGAGGGTAGCTTTTCTTCACTCTAGGGCTAACACAATAGCTCGAAGAAAAATATTCCCTTTCTCTCACAGAGCAGACCGAGCCAAAAACTGTCCTAAACAATGACCCTACACCCCTACATGAAATAGTTATACCTCGTTACCATTGTCACCGCCCCTGGTCCAGACGAATGGATAGGGTAGTTTTTACTTTAGACAAACCATTTATTAGTGGGGAGAGCTGTTCTGTGGGAAAGCACAGTTAAATTTCACTATGCATAAGATGTTCGATGTTTTTGTTCCATTTTCAGATTTTCTTGTAATATTTGGTTTCATGGAGATGATATAGCGTAGCTATACCGTCAGGGAATAGAAACAACAACAAGAAATATTTGGTGTTTAGGAGAATTTAAGGCAAATACCATTGCAATCTGACTGGAAAGTAACACGGTGTAACAAATACTTAACATACAACTAATTATTTAACACTATTATTCAAATTATTACTTAAGACTATCTAGCAAAATGAATTATTATGTATGACCATGTTGCTGATTTAGATAAAGAAATACTCGCGTTTTTGGTACCCCGTCAGAGAAATAAATAAATAGGTTGACGAATTTTTAAGCCAATATAAAATTTTAAGTTTATTTAGGTATAAATCTTAGTTTTATAAAATCATAATTAAGCATTTTTCTTTTATTTTAGATGCTAAAAATATATACCGATATTTTATCAAAAAATAATCTACTGGGGAAAAAAATCTTCGCTATCTGGACATTTTTACGAAACTAGGTTTTTTGCATCCATGCGGAAATGATGATGAAGAAAATAAAAAAAATTTTTTTAAATCAAATTCTGCTTCGTTGCTAGAGCACAACGTTGTTATTTTTTTTCCTTTCTAAAAGCTAAATTTTCTTTCCTAAACAGCATTTTCTTGCTAAAAAAATACCTCAACGGAATGTGTGAAAAGTATTTAGGTATATTTTTCTTTACTGGAAAGATATATTATTTTTTCAACATTTCATTTCATTTTTTTTTATAGAAGAGCGCAACTATTGGTTTGAAAGTATCGTCCGATTGGAAGTTGGATGGGAGAAACGTGTAGACGGAGGAACGAATCAAATTGAAGCAATCATTATTAATTGTCATTGTCAACAAGGAGCTTATATTGTAAATTGAAATTTAGAATTGTAAATAAAGCACAATTTTCAATCCAATATGCCTTTTTATAAAGATACATATTTTACATTATTATAGTAAGTTCCTAAAATTAGTTTCTTACATTAGGAGACTTTATTGTTGCTGTTGTTGTTAATTTACGTCGCACTAGAGCTGCACAATGGGCTATTGGCGACGGTCTGGGAAACATCCCGGAGGATGATCCGAAGACATGCCATCACAATTTTGATCCTCTGCGTAGGGGATGGCACCCCCGCTTCGGTAGCCCGACGACCTGTGCGCGAAGTCGAGCACTTTACGGTAGCACAGTTTAACGAGGACCAATACCGCACACCCTCGGTCCCTACGCAGACTTATCCAAGTGGTCACCCACCCTCACACTGACCGTAGTCAGTGATGCTTGACTTCTGTGATCTGCTGGGAACCGTGTCTTAACGATCAGTCCACTGCGGGACTTAGGAGACTTTAAAGAAATACAACTCTAGTCCTTATTATTGAAACGTAGACAATGATTAATTATAGGTGGTTCTACTTATAACTACCCTATGTTTGTTTTCAAATGTGATTAACTGGCTGACGAAGAATCAGAAGTAAATTACTGATTTATTAATTAGGTAAGTTAATTTTTTTGTCGACTGATTCGTTTATTTCAGTCTTGAAATAACCCAGTCTCGCATTGGACTGATCGTAAAAACACGATTCCCAGCAGAACACCTAAGTCGAGCATTGCTGGCTGTGGTCAGAAAGTGGGTGGGTGACCACTTTGATCAGCCTGCGTAGGGACAGAGGGTGTGCGGTATCGATCCTCGTTAAACTGTTCCATCGTAAAGTGTTTGACTTCGCTACCAGGTTGTCGGGATACAAAAGCAGGGGAGTCATCCCCTCTGCAGCGGATCAAAATTGCAATGACGTGTCTTCGGATCCCCCTCAGGGATGTTTCCCAGACCATCACCAATAGCCCATTGTGCGGGCTCCAGTGCGACGTACATAAAGTATCTACTTACCTACATATATGCAGATTTTTGTGCTCATTAAAAAGAAAAAGTTACAAACCCGTGTCAAGTACAGCACAAAGATGAATACAGGGTTACGATGAGATTCGAACCCTTTACTTCGCTCCAGAAAGTTTTGTGGAAGGATTATTCTTCATCGAATGAAGCCCCAAGTTTTTTCTCTGAATGCAATTTGATCAAAGAACCAGAGAGGACTTATCGTAAAACATGGCTTTTAGTGGAACACCGACCGGAGTCAAGCATCATTGGCAGTGGTAAAAAAGCGGTGCGTGATAAATTTCATCAGCCTGCGATAGGACAGAGGTTGCGTGGTATCGGCCATCGTTAAACCCCTCTACCGTAAAGTGCTGGACTTCACGCGCAGATCTCCGAGGTATCAAAGAAGTGCCGATGGCATTTCTTTGGAATGTGATGGTATTTCTTTGGATCTTCCTCATGGATGCTTCCCAGATCATCTCCAAAATTGCTTTGCGCATCTTCAGTGTGACATAAACAAATAATTACTACTGTTGACTTAATCAAAATGACTTATTTTGTGGCAGTGATCTTGAACTGTGACCGAAAAAATTGCAAGTCCATTTTCAAAGTCACTGAAGAAATCCGCGCTTGCAAATCTAAGTAGCCCTTCATAGAAAACCCTGACTACATAGTTTCTGAAGGGGTTTTCCTAGCAGAGCGGTATCACCCGCCAAGAGCAGTGTGAAGCGCGGAGGGGACGGGCTCGAATCCTGTTGTAACCCTGGATGCATTCTTCGTGATGTCTGTCCTTCTCCTTGACAAAGGCTTGTAAGCCTAAATTAAGCAACCAAATCTGCAAATGTATGTAATTTCATTAAAGCAATAATAAAGCATAGGGAACTAGAGAGTCGGAGATTGTGTGTTAGGGAAAAATCTTTGGAAGTTTTAACTATGTGAATCGACATCAACGAATTGTGATAAAGTAGGTCCTTTATATTTCTAGTAACGGATACTTCACCTCGGTTACTGATAAGAACTTCGTAATTTTTGTTTTCTCCCGAGTTGGGAGTTTTCGTTAGTCGAGAAAGGAACCGCCCCCTTCACCGACAGACTCTTCTGTTTCTTTGAAGGAAAACTGTAATTTACAATTTTCTGTATAACTTGGAAATGTAAATTATGGATCAGAATGAATTAATGGATGAAACTGCTGCAGAATAAAGCAGTCGTCTTGTGAAAACAAATACTAACATCCTCTTAGAATATGACTATACGATCCAAGACAAACTGACGTACGCAACGGACAATGGTCTAAATTCATACGCACTATTTTTCTCGCCACCAGGAGTTACCTCGTTTCCCAAAAAACCTTTGCAATTAAAAACAATTCTAACTAACGTGCTTATTCAAACCTCTGATTTAGTTACAGCATTGGAACTTAGCAACCTCAATTCTCTATTTGATATACCTACCAAACCAGAAGTGATACAAGAAAACATTACATCTCGCTTCCTTCTGCATGAGATACCGTTAGACTTAAATCTTTGTGATTTAAAATCCGAATTAGAGCTCAGCAACATCCAAGTATATAGTATTCGACGATTCCAAAAAAGGGGAGATACCGTCCCTTCTGAAGCCTGCTTAGTAACCTGTTACGGAACACACACGCCGAAGAATCTTAGACTCTTCTATGATAGAGTCCGACCTATAGCATTTTATGACCGCCCCAGACAGTGCCATAAATGTTACAAATTCACGCACCTGAAAAAGAATTGCCCCGCTCCTACTCAAATTTGTAGCCAGTGCAGTGGAAGTCATCACAAATCTGCATGCAACAGCTCTACTACGATCTGTAGCAATTGCACAGGGAACCACGCTTCTGACTACCCTGATTGAAAAGCACGACTAGAGGAAGCTCGATTTTTGCGCTTCAAAATCGAATCTCACTTAACGTTTACAGAAGCTCGCAGACAATATAAATCACAAAAAGATAAACCAAAGTTTGCATCAGTGGTGAAATCCGACCGTTCAGAACAAATTGCGGATGTCAAAGAAATAATCAAAACAGCTGTAGCAGAAGTAGCTACAGTGTTTGACGCAAAACTCTTGGCGTTAACTCAACGCCAGGACGCCCTCTTCGACAAAATATTTAAAGTCTTAGAAATTCTTAATTCTCGACAAGACATCGAACAATCTCACCAAAATCTTTCACGTAAGAAATTTCGTCCGACACTCGACACGGAAGTCCTATATCACGGTTCTGAAACCGAATTTTCTTTCGTGGCCGACACTGAGTCATCCACACCGAACATACCCACCTACATCGAAACAGAATCTCGATCAGAATCTTCAGAAACTAAAGGGCAGGGCCCAGTTACACCAGTTAGAGGTATAACCTCAAGATCACAAAATAGAGGTCTAACTCAAAAGGTCTCGCAAGTTCAAACAAAATCATCGACCAATAAAACCAAAAGCTAATATCTACTTCCTTTCTGCAATTGACAATACAACTTTCTAGCTACCTTTTGTATAGTCTACAAAATACCAATTAACATCACTTCCTGGAATTTGCCGAAGTATTAAAAACAAACTTCACTTGCTTAAAATAAAACCTTTTCTCAATCTCATATAATTGCTCTTCAGGAAACGTTTCTTAGTTCAGCAGACTCACTTCATGTTCCGTCCAAAACATTTTTCCGTCATGACCGAACGAGAGGTCGAGGAGTCCCGCAGTGGACTGATCGTTAAGACACGGTGCCCTGCAGATCACCGAAGTCAAGCATCACTGACTGCGGTCAGTGTGCGGGTGGGTGACCACTTGGATCAGTCTGCGTAGGGACCGAGGGTGTGCGGTATTGGTCCTCGTTAAACTGTGCTACCGTAAAGTGCTCGACTTCGCGCGCAGGTCGTCGGGCTACCAAAGCGGGGGTGCCATCCCCTCCGCAGAGGATCAAAATTGTGATGGCATGTCTTCGGATCATCCTCCGGGATGTTTTCCAGACCGTCGCCAATAGCCCATTATGCAGCTCTAGTGCGACGTAAATTAACAACAACAACAACAATAACATGAGGTCGAGGAGGCGGACTCGCCATCGCGGTTGACCGCAACATTTCATCGAAAATCATCCCAATACCAAATCTACCAACATCAGATAATGAAATCTTAGCGGTGCAGATCACAACGACTGATTTCTCATTTTTACTAGTTAATATTTATTCCCCTAAAGGTCAATTTTCAATAGACTGGCTGCAATCCCTAAGACGAACGTTAACAAACCCTTTTAATTTAATAGGGGATTTCAACGCACACCAATCTGCGTTGAAGAGTTCAGACAACATCAAGAGATGCGGATAGGCTCCTCGAATGAATCCTAGATGTGCAATTCTCTCTACTAAACACGAAGGTCCCCACATGCTTCAAACCAGGGTGCCAACCCTCCCTTCTAGACCTTACAATCACATCAGCTGACTTTTTCCCCAAAATGAATTACGTAGTGTTCCTAGACACATTTGATAGCGATCATGCCCCTGTGAGCATAGCCCTTAATACCCCAAACAGCAACCCCGCTTCGAACTGACAAACTCGAGTGCACTGGAAGAACCTAACCCGTAACCTAACCCCGTGACCCGTGAAGAAACTATTCGAACCGAAAATACCCTCACAACTCAAAAGTTTCAAACTATTTTCCAGCAAAAAATAAAGAAACATACCTCTTTCAGACCAGCGATTAATCCACTCTTCCCACCCTTTTGGAACAGTCTGTGCTCCTATTTATTAGGTAAGAAACGTAAATATCTAAGAATCGCGCGTAGATCCCTCAACCCAGATAAGTGGAACACATACAAAAAAACACCAGCAGGGCTTCGAAAAACAATACACTCAGCCAGAAGACAATATTGGAATGACGTTTGTGTCAACGCAGGTCAAACTAAATCCATTGGAAAAATACTCCGAGCAAATTATTAACCGCCCAGAAAACCAAAATATATCGTCAAACCTAATCATGATCAACAACATAGAACTTCACAG